ACGCGACGGATTACCACAATAGCGAAGGGCGCGCTCGAGGGCGCTAGCCTGCACGACGCCCCCGGAGGCATCGCGACAGCTCTCGGAAAGCCAGGTTCACCTCAGGATTTCCGTCCCACGACACCACCACGGTCAGCGCCCCAGCCCCAACGCTGTCCCAAAACCCTTTCCCCAGACCCAAGCCCAACCCCAGCTATTGCTTCAGCCCCACAATGCATGGCGCGTGGCCGGCGCGCCACCCTAAAGCGGGCGCGGGTCCAAAGCACTTCAAAGTGTCGCAAGCACCATGCACCGAATACTCTGGAACACCAGGTAAACGCACTTGGAACCCGCCAACCCGCGCCGCGCCCTCAAAGTCCCCAGCCAGCCGGTCATGCCTTCAAGTGGCGGCTCTTTGGCGAACACCACAGCCCCGCCAAGCCGACTGCAATAATTGAAAAAGCGTAATCCACCGCCGCTTTCATGTGGAAAATTCCCCCCCTGTTCCTCTGGAGCCCGGGGGTCCCCCCCCTTCGAAAATCCCCCCCCTACTGGACCCCCTTCCCCTCCCCCCCCCCCTCCCCCGGCAAACCCCCCCCCTCCCCGAACCCCTTCCCACCCCCTCCCTTCCCTCCCCCTCGAAAACCGGGGGGGTCACTACCGGTTCGAGCCCCCCCCCCTCGAAAACCGGAGGGTGGGTCACTACAGGTTCGAACCCCTCCCCACCCCCCCCACTCACCGCCAGCAAACGACTCCCGGTCCCCACCACCGTCCGCACCACATCCCCCACTGTTGTTCCCAGCACCACTGTCCTCACCACCACTGTCCCCACTGGTTCAACCACCGTCCCTACTGTCCCCACCAGTGCCCCCACCACTGTCGCACTGTCCCCACTGTCCCCACCACGGTTCCCGCCACGGTTCCACTCTCCCCACTCTCTCCACGGCCCCAACCACTGCCCGACTATCCCCACTGTCCCCACTGTCCCACTGACTCCTCCGCTGTCCCACTGAGCTGTCCCACTGTTCCCGCCATTGTCCCCACTGTCCCCACCACTGTCCCCGCTGTACCTCTGTCCCATTGTCCGCTGTATGCCCGCTGTAGTCGTCGTCGGTGACGACAACGACGACGGCGATGACGAGAGCGACGGCGACGAGGACGAGGATGAGGATTAGAACGACGGACGACGACGGCGTCGACGACGCACTGCGGATGCCCCATGGGGTGGGGGCTGCGTAGGCCAGGCCGCTGTAACCAACGACGATGACGACCACGACGACGACGACGACGACGACGACGACGACAACGACGACGACGACGACGACGACGACTATGACACGTCAGCAATCAGCCTGAGAGGGGGAAACACTTCGCCTCGGATGTATACGCTCCCTATAACCCGAAAAACACTTCTATACGCAAGGCAACCGGTTTGAGGCTGCAACGAGGTACACGATCCCCTCGACAGCGCCCGCGACGACCCCCTGGCGCGCGCCATTCAAAAAAAGCACGTTCCCTTTTGCCTCTCTCTCTCGATCCCCGGTTGCCTTGGCCGCCGCAGTCGCGGCCAGCGGGGGCTGCGCGCCCCGCCGCCAAGCCTCGGAGGCGGAGCGGCGTCACCGCTTCTTCGTGAAGGTGCAGCGCCTGCTGCAGCGGCGGGAGGCCTGGGATGAGAAGAGGCTGGTTATGAACGCGTTCCACGGTGTTCGGTTCCACGTTAACGGCAGGGGTTCTCGGTCGGCCGAGCTGGCCCGCCCGCGGGGGCGGGCGCAAGCCTAGCCAGGACGCGGTTGGCTCTTTTTGCACGGTCGGGTGACGGGGGCAGCTGCACCGAGGGTACCTGTGCCGAGCGGTGTTTCGGTTCCGTCTCGGGGCAGATGCTCTCGTTGGCTGTCTCTGCTCCCCCTTCTGGTTTAGCATATACTTCTAATGAGTTGTCCTCGTCTTCCACCTCCTCCTCTTTTTCTTCTTCCTCCTCCGCTTCCCCATCATGATCATCATCATCATCATCATCATCATCATCATCATCATCATCATCATCATCATCATCATCATCATCATCATCATGAGCAGCAGCAGCAGCTGCATCAACATCATCATCATCATCATCATCATCATCATCATCATCATCATCATCATCAGCATCATCAGCATCATCATCATCATCATCAGCAGCAGCAGCAGCATCAGCATCAGCATCAGCATAAACATCATCATCATCAGCATCATCAGCATCATCATCATCATCAACATCATCATCATCAGCAGCATCATCATCAGCAGCAGCATCGTCATCGTCATCGTCATCGTCATCCTCATCATCAGCATTATCTTCTTCAGCATCACCATCATCAGCATCAGCATCATCACCATCATCTATCATCATCAGCATCTGCATCAGCATCAGCATCAGCATCAGCATCAGCATCATCACCATCATCATAATCACCATCATCATCAGCAGCAGTATCATCATGAAGGTGTCCTATTGGATATTGACAGATTTGGCGAAAAATCGGGGCCAATTTCGGTGTTCCCGGATCTTGGTTCCCGGGTTCCCGGTTGCTGGTTCCGGGCCACTCTGGGTCCCCTGGTTCCTGGTCGATCTCTTTATCGATCGGTCTCACAATCGATCTCATTACCCGCACCCCGATCGATCTGGCTATCGATCAACGAATCGCTTTCACAATCGGTCTCACGACCGACCTTACTATGGTCCTCACTATCGATCCCACGATCGATCTCACTATCGATCTCACAAGCAATCTCAATATCCGTATCACTCATTTCCAAACCATCCACTGAGTTGTTCTCTGGTGCTGATATTATCATTGTCATCACCATCAGCGAACGCATCATCAGCATCATCAGCATCATCATCATCATCATCATCCTCATCATTATCATCATCAGCATCAGCATGACCACCATCATGATCATCATCATCATCATCATCAGCAGCAGCATCGTCATCGTCATCTTCATCATCGTCATCGTTATCGTTATCATCATAACTCATTAGCATCAGCAGCATCATCACCATCATGACCATGATCATGATCATCATCAGCATCATCAGCATCATCATTATCGTCATCATCACTCATGAGCATCAGCAGCAGCATTATCAACATCATGATCACCACCCTCACAAAAAGCAATAATCATCATCAGCAGCATCATCACCATCTGCATCACCATCACCATCATCACCCACACCATCATCATTATCTTCATCAACATCATCATTATCGTCATCAGCATCACCATGATCATCGTCGTCATGATCACCGTCATCATGATAATCAGCAGCATCGTCATCATCAACAGCAGCATCATGATCGTCATCATTATCAGGAACATCAGCAACATCATGAGCATCATTGTCAGCAGCATCAGCTGTATCATCTGTATCATCACCACCAACACCAACAACAACACCACCACCATCATCATCATCAGCAGCAGCATGATCGTCATTATTGTCAGCATTATCATCATCATCATCATCATCATCATCATCATCATCATCATCATCATCATCATCATCATCATCATCATCATCCGCATCACCACCACCATCATCATTATCAGCGTGATCATCATCACTATCACCATCACCATCAGCATCAGCAGCCGCCGCAGCTGCCATCATCAGCATCATGAGCAGCGTCAGCATCAGCATCATCAGCATCATCAGCATCATCAGCAATATCATCAGCATCATCATTGTCATCATTATCATCACCACCATCATCATCATCATCATCGTCGGTGCCATCATCGTCATCATCATCGTCATCATCGTCATCTTCATCATCATCACCATCATCAGCATAATCATCATCATCATCATCATCAGCATTCTCATCATCATCTAAGCCATCATCACCAACATCAGCAGCAGCTATCATTCACATCGTCATCATCATCACCATCATCATCATCAGAATCGTCATCACCACCACCACTACCACCACCATCATCATCATCAACAGCAGCATCATCATCATCTTCTCCATCTTCATCGTTATCATCGTCATCACCATCATCATCATCATCATCATCATCATCATCATCATCATCATCATCATCATAATCATCGTTCCTCTGTTCCTTCTCCCCCTGCCCGTCCTCCCGTTCGTTCGCCCTCCTCCTCCTCCTCCTCCTCCTCCTCCTCCTCCTCCTCCTCCTCCTCCTCATCATCATCATCATCATCATCATCATCATCATCATCATCATCATCATCATCATCATCATCATCCTGCTCCGCAATTGTTTCCTCCTACTCCGCGTCCTCCTCGCTCTCCCGAAATTCCTCTCTGTGTCCCAGCTGGGGGCGGTCAGTCATGCGACCCCCGCGCGTCTCCAGCGCCACCCCCGCCCTGGGAAAAGGGGGGGACCTTCACGGCGTCCGCGAAGGCCTTGGCCTGGTCGTAGCACGCCTGCCGCGCGGAGCATGAAGACGAGCCGAGACCATGAGAATTCCGAGAGGGAGGATGAGGGGGGAGCGGGAAGCGAGGGGGAGACTGGGCAAGCAGGAGCGGGAGACCGGAAAGGAGGGCAAGGAGGGAGGGAGAAAAAGGGGAAGAACAGCTCAACATTCGAAGCCCCTACAGTGGAACGTTGAGAGTAGTCCGTCGGACCGATTATGCACAGTCACAGCGTTGGCAAATTTCACGGTCTAACGTTTTTGGCTTGTTGCTGTGGGTTGACACAACTTTACACGCAGACATACGCACGCCTACAATTAAAAGCACAGGAGAACATGACGCCCACGTCGCATAGTGATTCAAAGCTCCAAACCATATTTCATTTCAAGGAGGCTTGAATTTTAATGGGTCGACTTGTTGAAACTGGGCCCAGGTAGATGGAGAAGAAAGAAAACAAAAACAAACAAAAAATACAGAAAACTATCGTGTTCGAACACGTGGATGGATGAATCAAGCCCCAGAAGGGGCCCTTTCAAGGCCCCCTTAGAAAGCAAAAGGTGCACCTGTCCTCATCATCCCGTTCATCGCACTCCCATGTCTCGACGACTGAAGAAAGAAAAAGAGGATGCCGCGGAAGGAAGAAGGGGGGCACAAAGGAAATCAAACATATTAGGGATCTACTGACCCGGGTCAGTCCACACCCGGTTTAATCAGGCTTTGCAAAATCCAGCAGGATCCTGCAGGGCCCTGCAGGATCCTTCACCCAAACCCGGGTATATCCACCCTTGGGTTTGCAGGAGCCTGCAAAATCTGGCGATCTGACTGACCCCCGTTTGCATCGACCCCCGTCTCTTGAGCCCGGCGCAACATTGTTCGTCCATCCCCGGGCGCTTTCCTTCGCACGCCCGCTTCAACTGCGCTATCTCGCCTTCTTGTTGCCGAGCCCGTCGACCTCGGGGCCCCTGGGGCAAGGACGACGCAAGGCAGACCTCGGAAAGCTCCAGAGGCCCCCAGGCGGGGGCCCCTGGAGCGAGACATCCCCTGGGCCCCCGCAATGGCCCCAAACCCCCTGCACCTTTTAGCATGGGCTCAACAAGACCCAAAGCATATGTTTTGTGAATGTTGTTCTGCGCTGGGTTGCGTATTTGTGTTGTTCGATGTTGTCATCGCGCGTTTGTCCACCAGCGTTGTGGGGTGTTTTCGCGATGCCACAGCGCATGATCGGACCCCGATACGCTTGGGCATTGCTGAAGCGACAGCCATGTTGGCATGTATGTGATATGTAGATGCACATATTTGTATATAAATGTATGCATATTCATACATGTGCATGTAAATACGTATGCATATATATATATATATATATATATATATACATAAACATATACATGTACATATGTATATATATGTATACACATACATACATACATACATACATACATACATACATACATACATACATACACACACATACATACATACACACACATACATACATACATACATACATACATACATACAGACAGACAGACAGACATACATACATACATACACACATACATGCATGCACGCATGCATGCATGCATGCATACATACATACATACATACACCTCGAGCTCCCGAGCACGCGGCCCGAGCACACGACGCGCAACCCGCGCCCCCGAAATCACAACATTCAGGGCGAGCGCCCCCGGAACAGCGACCCCCTCGTGAAAAACACAGGAGCCAACGCCCCGGAAGCCGAGACCCCGCTCCGCCCCCCTCCCCGAAAAAATGGCGAAGGAACCAACAGCACGCAGCTGCGAATATGTGAATATCGTCTTCGGTGTAGTTCCTCATGGGGGCGCGAACCACGCGAAGGGTACGCCAAGGTGGAAAGGAGGTGGCGCGCGGCCGGTGCCTCTGGGGCCTTCGGCGCAGCTACGGATAGAACCTTCGGCGTGGCCCCCTCTGTCCGCGATATGGTCGACGGGGGCAGCGAGAAAAGATAGACCGTCCAAGATTGCCACACACTTCTTCTCTCTGTCTGCGACCGCGCACTCCAAAGCCTAAGGATGCGGACGCAGCGCGGCGCGGAGTCCCCGCGACGCGCGCCCGTCGCCTCGGGGGCCCCAGCGACGCGCGCGGGTCGCCCGCCGCGCGGCGCAAAGAAACTGAATCGCTGGCCGATTGCGGGCAAGGCTCTGGCCGCTGGGAAGGGCGACGACAGGCGAGCGAGGCGCAGGGAAGAGCGCCGCGTGGAGTTCCCGCGACGCGCGCTGGTCGCTCCGCGATGGCCCCAGCGACGCGCGCGGATCGTCCGCGGCGCAGGGCCAAGCAATCTGACCGTCGAGAGAAAGCGAGGCTCGGGCGGGCCGCCCCCCTGGTCAGGCCTCGCGGATAAACTCGTTGAAGCCCAGCTCCCTGACGCGGGCCGCCGCCTCCCTTCGGCACCGCTTCGTGCGCGCCGCACACTGCTCCCGCTGCTTCCGCAGGCTCTCCAGCGGCCCTGCCAGGAAGAACTCCATCCGCGGCGCCCGCATGAGCAGGAGGTCCTCGTGGCGCGTGGCGCGCGGGAGCGGAGCGTAGAGCTCAGGTCGCTCACTAGTCGTCGTTCTCCTGCTTGCCGTTCCCGACCCCGTGGCGGCCGCAGTCCAGGGTCACGCCTGGGCGACGTCGGCCGAGTGAGCAACGCACCGGACAGCCGACGGCCCAGGGCGAGAGCCGACAGGACCGAGACATGGTCTGGCTGCAGACCGCCCGCGCCCAGGCCACTGGGCCACGAAGCGCGCGAAAGGCGCGCTCCCTCTGGGGCCACGAAACGCTGTACTGGGCGCAAGAACCGCACGCAAGTTCCGCCACTGGGTTCTTCGGTGGAGCTCCAAGCGGGGCCACGAAACGCTGTGCTGTGATCAGGAACCGCATGCGAGTTCCGCCACCTTCGGTGGAACTCCCTATGGGGCCACGACATGTGTACTGGGCGCAAGAACCGCATGCGAGTTCTGCTGCTGGGACCTTCGGTGGAGGTCCCTATGAGGCCACGAAACACCGCACTGGGCGCAGGAACCGCCTGCGAAATCCGCCACTGCGACCTTAGGTGGATATCCCGATGAGCGAGGCCACGATACGCAGTGCTGGGAGCAGGAACCGCATGCCAATTCCGCCGCTGGGACCTTCGGTAGAACTCCCTGTGGAGCCACGAAACACCGCACTGGGCGCAGGAACCGCATGCGAGTTCCGCCGCTGGGACCTTCGGAGGAGCTCCTTATGGGGCCGCGAAACGCTGTGCTGGGCGCAGGAACCGTTCCGCCACTGGACCTTCGGTGGAGCTCCCCATGAGGCCACGAAACGCTGCTCTGGGCGCAGGAACCGCATGCGAGCTCTGCCACTTGAACCTTCGGTGGAGCTTCCTATGGGGCCACGAAACACCGCACTGGGCGCAGGAACCGCATGCGAGTTCCGCCGCTGGGACCTTCGGAGGAGCTCCCCCTGGGGCCACGAAACGCTGCACTGGGCGCAGGAACCGAATGCGAGCTCCGCCACTGGGACCTTCGGAGGAGCTCCCTATGGGGCCACGAAGCGCTGCCCTGGGCGCAGGAACCGCCTGCGAGCTTTGCCACTGGGACCTTCGGCGGAGCTCCCTACGGGGCCACGAAACGCTGCACTGAACGCAGGAACCACACGCGAGCTCCGCCACTGGGACCTTCGGCGGAGCTCCCTACGGGACCACGAAGCGCTGCCCTGGGTGGCGAAAACGCAGGGAGGAGGGAGGAAGAGGAAGAGGAGGAAAGAAGGAAGGTAGGAAGAAAGGAAGGAAGGATGGAAGAAAGGAAGGAGAAAGGAAGGAAGGAGGCAGGAAGGAGGAGAACGCGGGGTGCTGTCGCTTCAAAACGAAGACCCAAAACCACAGGATGGTCGAGGGACAACTAAATTATATACTCTTATATATATATATATTATATATATAAAATATATATATATATAAATATATATATTATTATCTATATGAAAAATAAAAAAAAAAAAAAAAAAAAAAAAAAAAAAAAAAACTCAGACCGCGAACCGCCAGCGACTGCCACTCTAGCTGCACCCCTCTCGCATTCAGCGCGCCCTTCTCGTCGTACTCGTCAACGGCCGACTCCGAGGGCAGCCTCGACGCACCCAGGTCACGCGGCTTCCACCTGCAAAACAGCACGGACGCGGCCAAGTCCGACGCCTGCGCGGCTGCTCTGCGAGTGCACATGGAGATGGTCGGCTGCTTCGGCTCCCCGGCGGCGTCGGTCTGCTGCGCGACCTGCATGAACCAATCCGCGACGCCTCTCCCGCGGCAATCAAGCGCTCAGCTTCAAAGTGCCCCCTCAGCGTGCGCGGCGCGCAGGCGCGGGGGGCCGCGGCCCAGCGGGCCCGCCGGGCCGCGCCTGCGCGCTGCGTTACAGAGACCCGCGCGGCCTCGACCCGGGCCTTCAGCTCGCGGAACGACGGAGTCGTCGCTGTGCCCTCGATGCGTTGCCGGAGTTCGTGCGCGATCAGTTCTGGCTGACGGATGCTTGACAATGTGAGTTCGACCCTGCTCCTCTGCCGCGACGGCCCACGTCGAATCGATAACGGCAAGGCTGGCTTCGCGATGCCGTCGACCGAGGGCCGCGCAGCACGATGTGCCTTCGCATCCAGGGCGCGCAGTCAACATGGCCGCCGAACGCAGTCGTCCAGGCGGCGCTCCAAATACTCCAAATGCCTGTCGCCGTCGCTTAGAAAGACCGCCCTCGCGCTGCATGCCCCCCTGCTCCACGTGTCGGAGCTCCCGCTGGACCGCCCGAAGGGTGCCAGGCTGCCCATCATTCCCGCCGCGGGCCGTGAATGGAAACACGGGGACATCCTCCATCTCTGGGGGCTCTGGGGCCAGGCAGCCCATCAGTCAGTCAGCGGGGGACGGTTGTCCAGGAGCACCAGCGCGAGCTGCAGGGCGGGCTTGGGCCAAAATGGCGGCGGACGCCGAGGGAGGGGTGGAGGGAGCGGGAGGGGAGGGGGACGCAGGGGGAAAGAGACACAGGGGGTCGGGGAAGGCGGACGGGCGAGGGGTGGACTGGCAAGGGAGGGAAGGGAGCGGGGGGCAGGGAGAGAGGAAGGGGGCAGCGGGAAGGGGGGCAGGGGGGAGAACTGAGGGGAGCACGGGAAAAGGAGGGGCGGAGGAGGAGGGCGGACCGAAGCGGACAGAGGGGGAAGGGCAGAGAGGAGGGGAGGGGGCAGGAGTGAAGGAGAAGGAGGAGGGGCAGGCGGGAGGAGAGAGCAGGGCTGGACAGGAGGGGGGGAAGGGGCCAGGGCACGCAGGAGGGAGGGAGGCGAGTGAGGAGAGGAGGGCGAGTAAGGAGAGGAAGGCGAGTAAGGCGAGGAAGGAGAGTCGAGTAAGGCGAGGAAGGGGAGTCGAGTAAGGAGAGGAAGGAATCGGCGGGTAAGGAGAGGCGAGTAAGGCGAGGGAGCGAAGAGTCAGAGGGAGGCGAGCAAGGAGGGGAAGGGATCGGCACGGCCGGCGGGCACCGTCAGAAGCCTCGGCGCCGCAGAGGGTAAGGGAGGCAGGAGGGAAAGAGGGAGGGAGGGAGGGTGACGGGAGG